TTCCCAATTTTCCAGACATGAGACCTGCTACCAGGTTGCTTTGGCCATCAAGGATGAAGTGGAGGATCTTGAGAAGGCAGGTATCAATATCATCCAAATTGATGAGGCTGCTTTGAGAGAAGGATTGCCGCTTAGGAAGTCTGAGCAAGCCTTCTACTTGGACTGGGCTGTGCACTGCTTCAGAATCACCAACTGTGGTGTCCAGGATACTACCCAGGTTCGCATCTGCTACAATTTCATTCGTATTAATAGGGTTGTGCACTCCTCTTATCAGTCCAGTTTTACTCATTGTGCTCATCTCCATACTCCTCGCAGATCCACACCCACATGTGCTGTTCCAACTTCAATGACATCATCAACTCCATCGTTAATATGGATGCTGATGTGATTACCTTTGAGAACTCTCGTTCTGACGAGAAGCTCCTCAGAGTTTTCCGTGAGGGGGTCAAGTGCGGTGCAGGAATTGGCCCGGGTGCCTACGATATCCACTCTCCAAGAATCCCATCAACTGAGGAGATTGCTGACAGACTCAACAAGATGCTTCCTGTTCTTGAGACCAACATCTTGTGGGTTAATCCTGACTGTGGACTCAAGACCCGCAAGTACGCTGAGGTGAAGCCAGCACTCAAGAACATGGTCGCTGCCGCTAAGTCGCTCCGCACTCAACTTGCCAGTACCAAGTGAGAAGCTCATTACACCTTAGCGTTTACTTCCTTGCCTATCATTTCTTATTCAAAATTCAACCCTTCAAAATTCTGTGTAAATTGCAAATTGAAATTATATTCTTATAATTAATTAACGAAGCATTATAAATATATAAGTTACATATATTGATTAGGGATACAGATCAGTTATGCAAGTATTAAATCTCTTATCCATTACTTACTTAATACTTCGAAGGTATGTATTTTCGTGCTTAGTATTTAACTGTCTTTTCATAAATATAAATAAAATATATATTCGAATAATTCAAGTAACTATAGAGATCCTATATATATATATATATATATATATATGTAGTCCTAACCTTTATGGATAAGGAATGTGGGCTTTAAGTTTAATTTCATTTCATTAAGCCCTGTGCATATTGGGCCTGCTAATAAACTTTGCCTTGTGGTTTGGATTTGCAGCCGGAGAGACTTTTTTTGTACTTCTACCCAAATAACAGCAATATTGAGCCTACTGATAACCGCTTTCTCTCCTTTAATTCAATATCCGGTTCATTCACCGCCCTTGCAGTCTTTTACGTTGTCCACGTATACCGTAATGATGATACTGTGCGGCATATCACTAATTGCTGTTGTTAGTCTGGGAGAAGGAGGAGGAAGAGTTCGTTCCGACTTCCACGCCTATTGGAGGGAAGTTATGAGGAGGGAAGTTATGAGGAGGGAAGTTATGAGGACTAGCTCCATCCTGACAGGTTTATTAGCGGTAATATCACTTATTTTTCTTAGCAAACCCTATATTGCCTTGATCTCATTCCTTTTGTGGCTTTTCTTCGCCAATCACCTTATTCGCAGGTTGATTTAGATCTTAAACCAACCAATATTACCCATTACTACCAAGGCCAATTAATACAATATTTGGTATGCTGAAAAATTGAACAACAAACTTATTCCATTGGTGTAAAAGCGCAGGCAGCAATTTCAGTGTATCATATTAGTGTCACATTAAGATATAGATTCCATGAGTAAGGAATCTATTTTATTGTCACATCAGTGGTGTTGTTGTTTTAATGCTACTTTTTTTCTTTTTTTTAATGTAATGTGATATATATTGGATATAATTTTCAATCTATATAATGTGTGTTTTTCTTGATGGATAATTCTGTCATCTTTTATCATACTTATACCTTTTGTTATGATAGGCAAATCACCATTTGTATTGAACTAGCACTATGTGCCTTTAATTAATATTATGAATTTCTTTTTAAGTACCAAAAAAAAAAAATTGTGTTTTTTTAGTAAGGTGCAAGGTAATGTAATGTGTTAAGGGACTAGACATCAAGAGCT